CTTTGCCAGCGGAGCTGGCGACGTCGGAGGAGGAGACGAAGGGCCAGGAAGGCAAGGAGACGGAGGAGAGGGATATTGACATCTTTGTTGGCGCGCGCGTGCTTGGGCACTGTCTCGGTGGTCAAGTGTCCCCGCGAGGCCCCGATCGCCCCGCGCTCGCCCGCGCGCATGTTCCTCGAGGACCTCTCCAAGTCTAGACTAGTCACAAAGCAGATCCACTTGAAGCGGTTTCCCTTGGATCCTGCCGCGGGGCCCAGGAAGGACCTCAAGGGGGGGGGGGGCCTTGGGAGCTTGGGGGCCTCAACGGCGGCTCACTGAGCTACAAGATCACGGAGTGGTTCGCAAACTGGCTTGCGTGCCTTTAATCTCTTATATATATATAAAAACAATCGACGGGGACTCCCGGGACGTCCACTGCGGGAGGGCCCAGGGGCCCAAGACGGTCAAGGTCCCTTTGGAGACAGTCTGGGCTCGGGAAGTTCGACGCAGGTTCTCAGAGCGGACCACAGCGCGGATGTCGTTCCAGGCGTCGGCCACCCGAGCTGCGAGCGCAGCCAACGTTTCAGGTTCCAGTGGCAAGCTAGGTGCGACAGGCAGTGCTCGACATCAGCGGTGGCTCGACAGGCTCGAGGGCATAGCCCCCAGCTTGCTCTGCCGAGACGACCAGCTGGACCAGCAGCCTGCCCTGCATCTCACCGGCCCCATCGAAGCCAGCGGCGAGAGGTGCGCTGAGCATATCCAGCAGCTTGATAGGTTCGTCGAGCAGTTGAGGAGGACGGATACTGAGGAGGGGCTCAGCAGGTGGCAGAAGTGGGCGCTGGAATCGGTGGAGCGCGGGGGGAACGCTGCGCATGCGCACTCTCGCCAGGATCTCACCGATCGCAGTTGCCAGTTTTGAGGACCCCTGCTGCAGATGTTGATTCTCGGGGATGGGGCCGCGCAGGCCTTGGTGGATGAGTGGCTGCCCCTGCGGTTCCAGGAACGTAGGGCCTCACGTGGGCACCCGTCCCATTGGGGCGCCAGAGGGGGCGCGCCCCCGAGACTTGAGCTCGACAGACTCCTTCATGTGCGCCGAGGATACTGAGGGGGCTGGGATTGGGTGGGACTCGTTTCGCCCGGGGCTCGTCTTGAAGCTGCCAGAGGCCTCCCAAATTCGTATCTTGGATATCTTGCATGGGTTCGAGGGGGCCCTGAAGTCCTGTCTGACCTGCTGACCAACATTACTTTCCTGGATAAGCCAGATTGGGAGTCAGGCCGATTGGTCTTGAGTTTCTTCATGCAAGTGTTGTCGAAGTGCCGCCAACACCTCTGCAAGCGGCGGGGGGGCAAAGCATCCCGCTACCCTTTTGGGGGGCGCAAGCCCCGACACGTCGCGCGAACGAGCGGGCTGCGTGTACAATATACTTGCGCATGCCAGCCTCAGCGCGGGCACGCCGACGGCGACAGCGCTGTTCGATCTGAGGAAATTCTACGAGCACATCGCATGTCGACCTGCATCGAGCAGCGGTGGAGCACCGTTTCAACTCATGCCTGCTGCGAGGGCTGCGCGCGATGCATGCTGCAGAGAGAGCGTTGCTGCATGGAGGGTGTTTCTCGGGGCAGGTCAAGGCGAACGGGGGAGCGATAGCAGGATGTTCAGCAGCAACAACGCTTGCAAGGCTTCTGCTCTTGAGCCCTCAGTCTTTGGCCCAGTTTAGGCGCCCGCAGCTGGCCATACGCAGCGCGATTGACGACGTCGCGTCGCAGATCGTCGCCGTCGTCCCCGCCGACGCGGTCGTGGACCAGCTGACAGGGGGCGAGACGTCGTTGCTGGCCAGTTGCAAGCAGCTCGGGCTGCCAGTTTCAGCCAAGTCGAAGTACCTGCGCAGCAGCACCGAGCTCGATGCGGAGCTGCAGCAGGCTTGGGACATTCCCCCATGCGCTCGCGTCACCTCATCGAGGAACCTGGGGACTGGTGCTTCGCTCGGAGCCAGTCGGGGGGTCGGAGTTACCAGGGTGAGCTGGGAAGGGGCGCGGAAACGATCGAACAATATTAAGCATCTTCGGCAAGTTGGGGCAAGCACTGTTCGGGCCCAGCGGGCGGGCCCAACGGCCTCGGCCTTGTGGGGGTCTAGCATCATGGGGGCCCCGCCGTTTCATGCGCTTGGGCTTCGTCTCGATGCTCGCGGCAGTTTAGGTCGAGCGCTGACGGGCGCCACGACCAGCCTGCGATTGCACGACCCGCTGATCTTGAACATCGGCCAGGTCGTTCTCATGTGGGCCCAGGCCGTCTGGGAGTCGCATCACAAGCTAGGCGTGCTGCAGGTGTGCTTGGAAGCGGCACTGAGCAGGATCTCGCGGTTATCCCCCCCGTGGGCGGCGGCGGCGTCATTTGCGGACGTGGCGGCCCTCGGCTTGGAGAGGACAGGCCGGTCTTTTCAGGCGCGCGACGTCTTCGTCGCGGACGAGGGCGAGCAGATCCAGTTGAAAATGGTGTCTCCAGTCTTCGTCAAGGCCGCGGCAGAGGAAGGGGCCCTTCGAGCGTCGGATCGCCAAGGTCTCAGAGTCAGGGGGCCCGCAGCCTCGCGGTGCACCCCGCTGTTCTGGAAAGTTCTCTACCCCCTTCCTGCGCAAGGTCTCGGAGGCGAAAGGCTGGGCGAGGAGGCGCCATAGGTCTTTGAGGTCGCTCATCTCGGGGGCCCATTGGCCCCAACGCAGGCTCTTCAAGCGCGGCCTGGCTGAGTCTGGGGCCTGCCTTCGGCGCGGAGACCCTAAGGGGTCGCTGCGGCACAGAGCCGATGAGTGCGTCGAGCGCGCGGCGTAGGGAGGGTGTCGACCCCCTAAGGGGTCGCTGTGGCGTTGAGCGCGCGGCGTAGGGAGGGTGTCTCGGTCTTCTTGCAGCGCAGGGCCCGCAGGGTCAAAGCGTTGGGCATCGACGAGAGGGGGCGGTTCGCGCGCGGCCTTATCCCGGGCCCCATCGGTCTTGCTGGAGGTCCCCGAGGAGCCCGAGGCCACCACACTTTGGCACAACAGGCCCGCGCTGGGCCTTCCGAGCGGGTTCTTGTTTACAGACGGCCCGGCCCTGTGGGCTGACTGCCCGCGCCTGGCCCGAGCTGGCTGGGCTGTCGCACAGGTGGGCAATTCCGGCCGCGTACAGGCTGCGGCCCACCGGCCTGCCCCAAGGTCTGCGGCACCCAGGCAACAGGCTAGGGATGCTGAGGACTTCGCGCTGAATGTGCTAACGCAAGTGGCCCTCCCCCCTCCACATTGCACGTCGATTGTGCAGGGGCCGTCAGCGCGGTCCGACGCGGGGAGGGCGGGGGGGCTGAATCGCCCAACACTCGAGCGCACCTGTGGGGCCAGTTTTGAGCGCACCCGCGCACGCTGCACGCGTGCGCAGGTGGACGCAGGACAGACCGCGGACTGGGAGCTACAGACTGGGCGTCAAGCACCTGAGGCTGGATCGCCCACACGGGGTGATGCCAGCTGTCTGGGCCAGCCTCGCCAGCCAGGCGACGGGGGCCGACCTCTCCGCCAAGGCCCCCGCCCGCGCCACATCGACGCGTGGCGGGGCGGGGGCGGGGGGGCGCGCCGACATCTTCCGAACCTTCGGCCTGGAGGCTGGCGGTTTGTTGGTTGTGCGTGCGATGGGTCGCCGAGAGATCCAACGCTCGGCCGAAGCCCCCGGGGATCCCAGTTCGGACGAGGGTTTTGTCGCACCGCCTTTCGGGTCAATCCGTACAATGCCATACCTCCTCCTCCTTCTCCTTCTCCTCCTCCTCCTCCTCCTCCTCCTCCTCCTCCTCCTTTCTCCTCCTCCTTCTCCTCCTCCTCCTCCTCCTCCTCCTCCTCCTCCTCCTCCTCCTCATCATCATCATCATCTCATCATCATCATCATCATCATCATCATCATCATCATCATCATCATCCCCCCCCCCCCCTCCTCCCCCCCCTCCCCCGCCTCCTCCTCCTCCTCCCCCCTCCTCCTCCTCCTCTCCTCCTCCTCCTCCTCCTCCTCCCCTCTCCTCCTCCTCCTCCTCCTCCTCCTCCCGCTCCCCCTCCCTCGCCCTCGTCCTCCCCATTCCCACTTCCTCCTCCTCCTCCTCCTCCTCCTCCTCCTCCTCCGCCAGCAGCTTGTTTCAGATGTTACACAGATCCCAACGTTCCGCTGCAAGCCTAGATCCTAGATTCGGGGGCAACGAGCGGGGTGAGAGATATTGGGGGGCAGCATCGATCCCGAATCGCCCATGGATCGCCGACAGGGGCCCGATAGCCCCAACTTGCACAGGAAGGTGCGGACTCACTATCGGGGGCCTATCGCCGATTTATTGACGATGCATCGCCAACCCCAGGTCGATTCATCCCCCCTATGCCTATCCCCCCCTATCATGGCCCCTCAGAGATGCAGCTGCACTTGCGAAGACAGGTATTCAGCTGGCTGTCGAGCTTCTTCCACTACCCTCCCCCCCTGGTGCCCCACTAATCGGCAAGCCTCCCAGGGCGGGTACCGCCGCCTCTCTCCTTGCAGGGGAAAGCAGTAACGCGGCGACCAAAGAAAGGCTTCGAACTCGCCCAAACAAGCCCCGGTTGGATTCGGGTTCCTCGCAACATTCGGGGGTCCGATTCCAGGAGGCAGGGACAACGCACGATGCAAATTTGAGACGCGTCCGTTCCTTGTGTGTTGCGTAAACCTTTTCCGTGTTTGCTTTTGTTGTTTTTCCGCTGCCGTTCGAAGATTAGGGTTCTGAAGCTCTGTAAGTTGTGGGCGGGTTGGATTCGCGGCAGTCGTTTGTGTGTCAGTCCTAGAGTTGTCTCTAATTGTTGAATTGGGTTTTGGCTCCCATAGGTGTCTGTCTGCGTCCTCTTCCGCCACCCCTGGGAGTTTGGGCTGTCCTCGTTCTGCCACCCGTCTCGTCCACTTCGTCATCCTTCTCCCTTTTGACCCCACAGCGAGCGACGTGCCCAGTGGTGTGGCCACCGCCGCCGCCGCCATGCCTCCACCATGCCCCCCCACACCCAAGGCTGGGCTCATTGCTGGGAGGCGGGCGGTGTCGATCGGGCACGTCACCGGGGGGCACGCGGCGTCGCTGGCAAAGGCCAGCGCGGTGGTCGAGGGAGGATGGTGGGTTGCGGCCGGAGTCAGTCGTGAGGATGCGGTAGTTCACCAAGGCTGCCCTTGCATCCTTGCCTTGTCAGCCCATCCCTCAACGTTATTGGCCTTCCGCCGCTGCAGTTGTCTCGGCGAGGGTGTCCGTGGGTCTCTTGCAGCCGTGGGGCCAGTCGTACACGGGCGGCCAAGGCCGAAGCGTCAAGCGCAAGATCGGGTCTCCGACCCTCATCGGCAGCGCGCCAAGGGGTAGGGGGAGGGGGGAAGGCTTTCTTAGAAGCACCCCTGCTTCTGAGAAGGCGCGGGCCTTGTCAAAGAATGTAAGGCCCGCGCCTTCTAAGAAGCAGCCTCCTTCTAAGAAGCCTACCCCCCTCCCCCTACCCCCTTGTGCGCGCCGCCAACCTCAGTAGCAAGGCGGAAAAGGTGGGAGGGGGATGGGGAGGAGGACGCGAAGCTTTGGACGCCCGAGCTGGGTACGGAAAGCATGGGTACAGTGCCCAACAACTCTTGTTGTCCAAAACGGACAGCGGCCGCCGTTGGGCAGGCGGCCTTCTGCCTCGAGCGAACCACGTGCGCGACGGCGCGGACAGCGAGTCTTGTCCCAAATGCACAGGAACTGCTGTTGGGCACCGTGCCCATTCTTTCCGTACCCATTTCGATCGTCCCAAGAAGCGAGTTTACGCCCCGAAGAAGAAAGCTTCAGAAGCATGCCTAAGAAGAAAGCTCGGGCCGGACGAAAGGGGGTGATTGGGAAAGGGGGGGGGTACGAAATTTGCTGCATGCAGCTGGTTTCGGCCTCACCAAGGGCCCCTTCCTCGATACATAGCCGCCTCCGGCGCTGGGAGGCGCCGTGAAAATCAGCTGCGTGAGCTGATTCTCAAACCTGCCCTGTGCTATCCCCCCCTTTCGCCCGACCCGAAAAGCCTAAGAAGCGTGCCTAAGAAGCTGCTTGCGTCGCAGCTTGCCTGAGAAGCTGAGCGAAGCGAACGCCAGGGTCGTGCGCGCTCCTCGGGGGAGCCCGCGCGCGCCGCCCGGGGCATGGCGCGGGGGGCAGGGCGCGGAGGCACGGGGGGGGGGGGCCACGGAGAGGGAGGAGGAGGGAGGAGGAGGAGGAGGAGGGGGAGGGGTAGGGGAGGAGGAGGAGGAGGAGGAGGAGGAGAGGGAGGGGGAGGGGAGGAGAGGAGTGGAGGAGGTTCAGGCGATCGCAAGCATGGACCAAGGAGGAGTGGATTAGCGACGGGTCCCGTTTCCATGGGACATGACGGATTTCCGCCGCCCGGCGAGGCGGCATCGGCCACATGTTGGGGAGGGCACCTCCCCCGATCCATGGATTTGGCGACCGCGAGCCACATCCATGGATCGCTAATACATGTGTGTGCGCCCCCGAGAGGTGGAGGGGGGAGCAGGAGGATGTGGAGGCGGAGCAGGAGGAGGACGTCAGCGAGTGCACATCATCGGGCCGACGGCTTTCACCACCGAAGTCATGATGAAATGCTGACCGCCTTGGTAGACGTAACCCGTATTGTGGAAGCGTCGGCGTTCACATGTTGGATCTCTTCTTCTCCATGCACCAGCTGCGTTATATTTCTTGCTTTGTCAGCTCGCCACCCGCAGCTCGCCTTGGATAAATTTGATGATGTAGGACCCACGATGGATGGTACTACTTGAAGGCTCTGGCGCTAACATGAGTACATGGACAATATCTCGTTGGCCTAGGTCTGCCCGTATTCAGCCGAAGGACGACAACCATATGGTCAAGACCGTTCGGAACATGTGGTTGGTTCTCCTCCTCCTCCTCCTCCTCCTCCTCCTCCTCCTTCCCCTCCTCCTCCCCCCCTCCTCCTCCTCCTCCTCCTCCTCCTCCTCCTCCTCATCCTCATCCTCATCATCATCATCATCCTGCAAGGGTTGTTCGACGGCGGCAGCCGCAATGGGCACCACGGCTGCGGCTATGTCTTGCGTTGCTGGCGCGACGACCTCGCCGTGCGGGACTGGGCGGTACTAGCCAGAGGCATTTATTATATAGGACGCAATACGACGGTGGCAAATGTTGATCTCACGGGCTGCGAAAAGCTGGTCAACCTCATTTGCAAAGTACTCCGATGTGACTCTAAGCTGGAGCTCGCCCACTTGACGATGTGACCCCGGCGGCCTTGTGCGGGCTCCGTGCAGCTGGCGAGTGAGATTCAAGAGAATTCCAGATGCCTTTCATGACTCATGATACACTGGCTGCAAATCAAAAATCAAATCATCAGCATCATCATCCCGAACTCTGCGCGCTCTTCTATCTGGGTCCATACTTCTATTCTCCTTCTCCTCCTCTTCCTCCTCCTTCGCCTCCTCCTCCTCGTTGTCCTCAGTCCTCGGCGTCTTCCTGCCCCTGCGTCTCCTCCTATCCTCCGGCCCCCCCTTTGACACCTCGTCCTCGCCGTCTCTCCTGCCCCTGCTCCCCTCCATCCAGCTCCTCGCTCTCCTCCTCTCATCCCGCTCCTCCCTGTCGTCCTCCTCCTCCTCCTCCTCCTCCTCCTCCTCCTCCTCCTTCCTCCTCCTCCTCCTCCTCCTCCTCCTCCTCCTCCTCCCTCCTCCTCCTCCTCCTCCTCCTCCTCCTCCTCCTCCTCCGTCCTCCCTCCTCTCCTTTCCTCCCTCCTCCTCCTCCTCCTCCTCCTCCCTCCTCCTCCTCCTTCCTCCTCCCTCCTCCTCCTCCTCCCCCTCCTCCCCCTCCTACCCCCTCCTCCTCCTCCTCCGCCTCCCTCCCTGCCCTCCTCCTCCCCTCCTCCTCCTCCTCCTCCTCCTCCTCCCTCCTCCTCCTCCTCCTCCTCCTCCTCCTCCTCCTCCTCCTCCTCCCTCCCCACCCCTACCTCCTCCTCCTCCTCCTCCTCCTCCTCCTCCTCCTCCTCCTCCTCCTCCTCATCTCATCCTCATCCCTCATCCCCTCCTCATCCTCCTCCTCCTCCTCCTCCTCCTCCTCATCATCATCATCATCATCATCATCAGCATCAGCATCATCATCATCATCATCATCATCATCATCAGCATCAGCATCAGCATCAGCATCATCATCATCCTGCAAGGGTTGTTCGACGGCGGCAGCCGCAATGGGCACTACGGCTGCGGCTATGTCTTGCGTTGCTGGCGCGACGACCTCGCCGTGCGGGACTGGGCGGTACTAGCCAGAGGCATTTATTATATAGGACGCAATACGACGGTGACGAATGCTGATCTCACGGGCTGCGAAAAGCTGGTCAACCTCATTTGCAAAGTACTCCGATGTGACTCTAAGCTGGAGCTCGCCCACTTGACGATGTGACCCCGGCGGCCTTGTGCGGGCTCCGTGCAGCTGGCGAGTGAGATTCAAGAGAATTCCAGATGCCTTTCATGACTCATGATACACTGGCTGCAAATCAAAAATCAAATCATCAGCATCATCATCCCGAACTCTGCGCGCTCTTCTATCTGGGTCCATACTTCTATTCTCCTTCTCCTCCTCTTCCTCCTCCTTCGCCTCCTCCTCCTCGTTGTCCTCAGTCCTCGGCGTCTTCCTGCCCCTGCGTCTCCTCCTATCCTCCGGCCCCCCCTTTGACACCTCGTCCTCGCCGTCTCTCCTGCCCCTGCTCCCCTCCATCCAGCTCCTCGCTCTCCTCCTCTCATCCCGCTCCTCCCTGTCGTCCTCCTCCTCCTCCTCCTCCTCCTCCTCCTCCTCCTCCTCCTCCTCCTCCTCCTCCTCCTCCTCCTCCTCCTCCCCCTTCTCCTCCTCCTT